ACCAACATGTTTCACAGCAAGTAGATCAATTTTGCCAAATTTTTCCTTTGTTTTTTAAGTACCTTGGAACGTCTCAGCATCCACTCTTACATTTTTGTGGTTGGACACAGGGTTATGCTCTTCCTTCTTCTCAAAATGGGCTGCACAATCATTTAATCGCATCACTTCATAACATCATCAGATAATTTTTGTTTAAAATCTTCATTGGCTATATGTGGCATGATATGCCAGTTGAAATTAGGGTGGTATTTATCCAGTGTTTTCTTAGAAACTTTTTCTATACAAGAGGTAAAGAAATGTATCTTTAAAGGGCATAAACAGGGCATAATCACCCTGCAGAAACTTCCATTAGCAGAACGGGTTTTATTTTCCTTACTCATCTGACAAACAGACAAATTATCTTTTTACTTCAAACTCAAACCCACCCTGTCGAGGAAGTAGAGCAAATCTGGAGAGAGTCACCCCCAACAGCAGAGGAAAGATGGACTGTTTGCAGGGAACACTGCTACTCCAGCTGTTACACGGTTCTTGTAGTACACTTCGCCAAAAAATTACAAGTCACCCAGAAACACTGATTGACTGCACAGACCCTTCAATATTTTAGAAGAGACACCAACTCCTCCTCCTCACGCCTTTCCGTGCCTTACAGAATTAACAAGGCCCAGTAGTTTTTATATCTAAACAATGGTAGTTAAGTGATGACTTTTTACCAGAAAGTGTGACTTTCTCAAGTCACATTAGTGCAAACAGGGATTGCTAATTGTCATCTTAGCATACACAAGCAATTAACTTGATATTTATGTTAAAAGATGGGATAGTTGTTTTCTTTAACGAAACAAAAGTTGTGCTGGATTCTCACCCCAAAGAAGCCATAGAAAATACCCACTGATTAAAAACAAAGATGCAACTAATTTCTGGTACTGGACGTACACCTTGATCTTTCAGATAAGCTTAATTCCAACAAAGGAGAAAATTGTTTCTTCTGAATGGTTTTGACTGCTTTTGTGATATTACTAACACGTCTGAAAACCCCTGTGTTCACCAAATCACTGACTATTCTGTTTTTTTAATATACGTAACAAAAGGAACTAATGGTAGTGGCTGCTCCAAAACAAACAAGATAAATTTTCATGGAAAACCCACCACAGGTCGGAAGCATCTACAAACAACAATCCTCCGTTTTTTAACTCTTTGCTGCATTCCAGGAGCAAGGGAGTCTATGGCCTACAGTGCCACGGCTCATCTCATGAGGATTCTCTGGCGTTTAAGCCAACAGAACCCTGGGGACCACTTACACCTGGGGACTGCGGGCCGGCTCTGCAGGCAGGGTGAATGCACTAACTGGGGAAGGGGAGCCACGCGACCCCTGCTCGCGCAACTGGGTGGCACTGGGATATTGCCGTTTATTAGCTGCTTGACGGCTGGCTACCACTGAGAAACCTCCTCACTTCCGAATGTGACCTTTCCCGTTCTTCTCCTCCCTTCCCCACCCCACGGGAAGTCAAGACCTTAGTGCCGTGCAGCGGGCGAACGGCGGCGCCTCCCACTTCTTGACTCGTGCTGCTTCCAGCACCGCACAGAGCCTGCTCCCCGTGTTAACGTCACGCACAGCGCTTCATTTACAAACCGGCACAGTACGTCACATCATACTCTGCTGATGCACCATATTTCCCCTGCCCGTTTGGTTGAAGGGCCTCTTCAGCAGACAAGCAGAGCAAATGGACGGGGCTGCAGTAAAAAATAGTGTTGCTATGTCCCCTTTCACTTGACTTAATTTATCTTTTCTGAATATTGCGTTCAGGAAAACAAATAATCCTTGCAGTAGCATACTCATCGGCTGCAAAATACAGGATTTATTACTTTATTTAGCCTTATCTTACAGTTTTTCCAGAAAACAAGCATTATTCCTAGCTTACTCATTTCTGCTACTAGTTGTGCTTTTGGTACACTCATTTAACAAGTCTCTATAATGCCAAGCACCACTAAGGCCTTGACTTCAGTGAAAAGTTTTTAATCAGTATTAATTATAAAACAGTAAGAATTAAATCGAGAATCTCAATTTGTTGTTTTAGAATTACACAACTCATCTTGCATGCAAAATAGATAAAAGCCGTCTGATTTTAAAAAGTCTGAGATTTTTGCCAAAATCCCACATACAATGAGGGTGACAGGAAAGTTGCTGTCTGTTTCAATGAAATACATGAATTTTGTCCCTGCCATATATTGGCACTTTCTCTTTTGTTATCTGAGCAACACCACTAAAACAGAATTGAAACTACTTTGCCATCCCTGGAAGAGACTTTCAAACACCACAGTGATGGATCAATAATTTGTCTGCATGTGGTGTGATGGTGCAGCAAAAAAAAGAGTGAAACGTTCAGATACTAATGTGAGAAAATATATTCAGGAACACAGACTTCAAAACAAGCCTTTTGTGATATCACAAGTATTTCTGATAAAAAGATTGAGAAAAGCTGGGAGAAACAAAAAATACTAAAAAATTCTGCAGAACACAATGACCTTATTGGAATGACAGTCTCAGACCTAATTAAATTAATATAAAGTATTTCACTACTATAGTTATGTCAGAGCCCTCGCTAAATTTACTAGTACCATTTAGATATTTTTTTGTCAGTGAAAAATATCAGAGATACCATTTTAATATAACATGTGTCAAAAGAATAATTCAAAATTCTTGAGCAGTTTCAAAACTGAAATAAAATAAGACCTTTGCCTTTTAAGGGGGCATGTTAAATGGGTGGATCTCAATTTCTCAAATTTATCTTCATTCACTATTTTAATTGCAAGCGAATAAGTGAATAAGGTAAAATATTCTTAAGCAGACTAAACAGGTAATAATTTTTGTATACATGTATTTATTAAATCAACTAAAGGAACAACATTTTTATTTCAACTAAGCGGCATATTGAAGTTCATAATAAAAATTACGAGAACAAAAATAATAAAAATTTTCAGACGTTCTACAGCTAGTTTTGGTGACCTTTGCTTTTACAAAATTAAAGAGGAGATATTTTGGAGACTCAATGAGAAACAAGCCCCCAGATTTGATTAGGAACATTAAAGTAATTCTAGCAACTGAACAGAAAGATGAGAGGGGACCTTGATGCTGAAAAGAAAAGACTGAGCAATGTGCAAAACACAGGCTCTGCTGATGTAGAAATAAAGACAACACAGCAAAGGGCAAAAGAGAAATACTAATTTGCACTGCACAACATGCCTCCTAATGGGCTGCGTGCACGTCCCGGCCAAGCTGCTATGCTGGGGTGAGCTACAGGTTACTGGGTTCATTTAGCATGGATGTAACTAATGGCCACTTTTATTTTAAACCAAGAAACATAGAAGAGAGGGATGTGACATCATAGTTTTGAAACTGACTTCTACAAAACCCGAAGTTGGTTATTGTTTGGGCTCACAAAAACCACTGGGAATTTTTCACTATCATTACTAAACTCACAATATCTGCGCTCAGGTAAGAGATGATTACCCAGAGCTAGTGCAAATCACACGCTTTCTGGCTGAAGTCAATTGCTCAAAATACAAAACCTGAATAAAAGAAAAGTAAGGGAAAAAAACGTTCAAGTACCCAAGTCGCCAAAGCACACCGTAAGTTTTCAAATTTCATGGGAAGGATCCAAAATATTAAATAATTCAGTCAAAATACAGAATACACTGAAAAACACTGAATTCAGAAAAGCAATTTAAGGTGCTTTTCTTCCCTCCCCTTTTAAAAAAAAAAAAAAAACAAAAAACTACAGAAAAGACATTGGGCAGATCACAATTGAAACAATTAAAAGGAGAAAACCCATTCTGGACTTACAAAAGCAAGTAGCCTAGCCTAAACATCCACAGAAGTGTCTCACATACCCAGACATATTTGAAAAAGAAGAAAGTTAGTGCTCTTAGTGGTGATTTAGAAAGTCACAGTTGTGTCAGTTTTCTTCTATTGTAGAAAAAACCCTAAAAGCATAATGATTTTAAATAACAACCTAAGGTTGAGATCCTTTTTATGTTCTAAGAGGGAGGAAGGGCAGAGAACTTTTTTAATAATCCAAATTACTTTTTTTTTTTTTAATACAGAATAATTATCATAAAAGTCTGACCTATACCTGTGTGTTAGCCTCCCATACTGGCAGCAGTTATATCTGTGACACTATCCAGGCCCCATTTCAAGAAGCAATCCTCAATCATGCGTGTGGCTCAATAATTTATGTATTTTTCCCCACTGATGCTAGAGATAACGAACTGGCCCCTCATGATCTACTTACGACTCAGAACAAGTCAGGCTCATGCTCAGTGAGCGAACTGGGGACGCAATGTCAATCTTCTGTCTCCACCACAAGCCTGCTGGGCTCCAGTATTTAACCAGGGGAACCTCTCAGCCACCTCCTGCAGCTCCCTAAGAGCTTTATGGCATCCAAGATACTTGCAGCAGATCAGCTAGTTAGTTCAGGTCTGCCTTGACTGTAGGGCAGTCCCAGTAGCAAATACAGTGGTGACCTAGCTAAAAGCTGTAATGGGGACTGGAAGAAACAAAGTTTATTATAAAACATGTGTATGTATATTTTTAATAGACAGCACGGCATTGAGGTGAGATTAAAAAAAAAAAAAAAAAGGTAACAGCATACTCTATCAACATATAGAGACCACTGATGGGAGCTAACTGCGAACGACTGCAGAAGAAGATGGCTGCAAAAGCCATCAGAAACCTGGCTTCAAAATCAAGTTGGGGAAGTAAATGGGATAAAGAACGGCAAAAATTATTATTAAATAGCTGCATTTGATACTTACAGTACAGCTGACTGTCACTGGCTTTTTAAAAATCAAGAAACTGCACAAGCCATTCTCTCTTGCTCCACAGACATGCGCACAAGTTATAACCTGACTTTAATAAGGAAGTGTCTCTCAACTGTCACGAGTATCCTTGAAAACATTACAAAAAAATTAAAAATAATAAGGAGATCTAAATGTAATTTACCCACCTTCTTGTAGTCGATTATATTTCCTTTTCCTTGTGCCTTAAAAAGAAAGAGAGATTTTATATAAGACATTACATACTACAAACTAGAGTTGCAAGAATGAAGAATGCAATTAAAAGAGCTACTACTTTAAACATAACTGACTTTCTCTAGGAGTCTGATACGAAAGAACCTAAAATACAACCAAATGTGTTACCAGCTTATACAACATGGTTCTGTTTCAGATGAGAGCTGCAGATACTCTGTAATTTTTAGGGTTTTTTATTATGTCTTGTAGTTAAACATTAGTTGAATCCAAAATGTTTTGGCCTTAAGAAATCTTGCTGTTTGCATTAATTAATCTCTCCCATGATATTCTGAAAGAAACTATACTGCCTATCAGCAATAACAGGTTTTATTTTCTTACAGAATTCTCTGTGTATCTGTAGTGATTTGCACACAGGTAATAGTCTAGAGCTCTCAACTGGGGATATCAGGACCATGTCAGTGCTATTAGACCTAGGTTGGAGGTGCTTTTGGTTTAGAACTGTAAAGTATCAGCATCACTCTTTACTTAAGCAGCAGATACAAACAAGCTATAGCTCCTAATACACGCAGAAAGTATGAATAAATTTGAAATGACTTCTTGCCCAGATGCAGAAAAATACGTTGTCCAAATTCCTCAATTTTGTCACGATGTAGATGAGGTTTATGTCTCTCTCACCCAGTGGCAGTGCTCTGCCAGAGCCAGAGCATTCCTGCTCAACCAACCCAAAGCCCTTCCCTTAGGTCAGACCCCTCTGTATCACTATCACCTCATCCAACTCCAGATCTTCTCTTTTCAGGCACAGTGAGGGAAAAAAAAAAAAATAATCACCTGTTTCTTTCCCTCTAGCCTCCACAAGGGAAGACCACAAACCTCAGTTCTTCTGGAATGTGCCTCCTGAAAAGATGTAATTAGGACCACTACTTCTCCGTGTCCTCTGCGGGGACTGCAGAGAGCAGCCAAGAGGAGCAGGCCAACTGGCATAAGGAGAAGAGCTAAAGCCTGCACTGAAGGGGAACACTACGTGGCAAGTACAGTTTAGAAGAGATGTTGCCGAGATGGCACGGTTTTAGAAAATAAATTAATGTTTGCAAGGGAGGAAAAATAAAATAGAGAAAAGAACCAACGAGAGACTAAGCAATCAGAACAGGAAGGAAAACAGTAGATAACAAAATGATTTCTCTGAAGGAGAAAGGGGACCGTTCCACAAAACCTCTTTAGTACTCTCTTTAAGCTTCTTAAGAGTCAGCTTTTCTGGAATGCATATTAAGAAAACAGCCTGATAGCATTTGGGAGTAGCAAAACCACTGCCAATAACTGCTTCCTTATTTGTGTATTCCCATCTCTTTGATTTGCCAACTTTTATTCAGACCGGTTGGATCTTACGGCTTCTTCAAAATATATCTAGTATATCAGAACACACCAGAAATATGTTCTTTAACAAATGATTGCCTATATGCAGATTCAAACTGCAGCAGAGAATTTGCCAACACATTTGAGGAAGATGCTTTTTAGTCTGAGCAATACCAGAAGCGGTGTGCTCTGCATGCCTCCTCCTGTGTCTAATACACATTACAAGCAGCAAGAATATTTTCTCGTGCTCTGTTCGTCTTATGCATTCGAGTCAATGGCAGTTGTGCTTCTCCAAGAAGCAACCTTATCTAATCTTCTTCCTATGCCTTTACTACAACTGCATCTTTGCTTTTTTTCTTTCCTTTTATCCTCGTGGTAGTTTGGCTCTTTGACTTCTGCTGACCCCAATCTCAGGCACAGAGATTTTTAATCCTTTTGCATCAGACTTCTGCATCTGGTTTGGCTTCCTCGAAGGTATTAAGCCTGATTTGTAAAAGGTACATACTCTTGTCAAACTTGGATAACTTTCTGGGTCTCGCTGCCTGGCTGGAGAGCTCAGCCTCTGAACGTCGGGGTCCCTGGGTCCACAAACAAAAGCATCTGCTTAGCAGCATATTAGACACATGGACGGCCAACTCAGCCTTGCCTTCCTCCTGAACACCAAAGGTCACCATGTGCCAGTAGTGAGGGACAATAATACCATGACATTCTTCATTAATAAATGAGGTGGTGTGAAATCAACTCATCTTGCCAGGAAGAAGGATCCCTGTATCCCCCATGAAATTACTCAGTGTGCATCAGATAAGCAGACCACAAGTGGATGGTTTAAGACAATACTTTTGGAGCAGGTTTTCGGGATGTTTTCCAAGATTGACTTTTCTTTCTCAGATGAGATGGTCCCTTTTACATGTCTTAAAACCTGTACTTGAGAAAAGCTTGATAAAGCATTTGATAAATGCTTTTCTTCCAGACCTGCTTCGCTTGAGAAGCCTCAGAAAGATGTGGTGAAAGATGTGGTGAAAGGCACATGGATTACCTTGGCCTAGATGAGATGTTTCTAGTTTCTAACTTATTCCTTTTTTAAATTACAAATGCTATGAGCTAGGATGGATTCTAGACCTGTTCTTGAGGGATTCTGCTTAATTTCTTCACTCAGACTTTGACCTTTTGTACCTCACTGCTTAGATGTTGGATGTCTGCTGAAGCCAGACAATTTTTGCTCTTGTCTAGCAAAAGGTATCTGTAAGTAGCTAAAAGTGACCAAACTCTTCTGTCTTTTAACCCCTAGGAAATCCTCCAACCTGGATTATCTGTTAAATTTTAAGAAAACGGGGCTTTCCCAAAGCTCAGTGGGACTGCATACAGCAACTGTAACAATGCTTCATCTGAAGAACAGCATTTAAGCATTTCTTTGTCTCTCTACCACAGTGTTTCCTAGGAACCATTTAAGGTTCGGTGTTGTTTTTTTTGTGTTTTTTTTTTTTTTTTTTTTTTTTTTGTTTTTTGTTTTTTGTTTTAAAAAAAAAAAACATTTCAGGACTCTGCTCCAACCCATTCTCCTTTCAAAACAGACACCCTCATGTCCTGTCTGAAGGCTGTTTTCATCTAAGATACGCACGACAGGTGCTGAGTCCCAGCCACATGCTTTCTGAGCAGAAAAAACCACTGTGGAGGCTACTAGGCGCAATGGGGCTCTCTACCTCTGCTTTCTTGAACACCGAGACCTTCCTGCAGGAGGAGGAAGCTGCCAAGGGGAGGGGCTGCCTTTAATCCACCGTATGAATGCCTATATAGGCAAACAATCCAAGGAAAAAGCCAGGTTACTTAGCAGCAATTAAAGGACCATAATGTGATTTCCGTATGCCTAGTCATAAACTCACCTCAGAAAAATTCTACCTGACAGGGACTGAGCACACTGTGCGTGCTTTGCCTGTTTCAACAGGCATTTCTTTAAACAAATGACATTGCATGAGAGGGTGGCTTACGAGCATACTCTTACGAGTACTGCCAACACGAGAAAGTCCCTGGTTTGAGTGCTTGGCCTGCACGGAGTGTCACACAGTGAATGTGACTATGGATGATATCTCAAAGCGCTTGTAGTTAATAAAAGGTAATTTTCCTTTCTAAATCAAGACAAGCCAAGAAAGGCTCCCAGACAAGGTGTTCCACTTTGTACTGAGCTAAAGTAGCAGTTACTTTTGCACAGTGTGTGTCACCTCCCCCCTCCCCTTCAGAGAGAACTGCCTCACTGTTTCTATAATGCCCATTTTTGGTACGAGAATTAATAAGGAGACAGACGGCACTCCTGGAGTCCCACAGCCTCCTCTAGATTCTGCAGATGGGAAATTGTTTCAAAGCTTTTATACACTGTGCTGTGGTAATCCCATTATTCTCCAACTGCACTCATCCGAATCCATTTACATTTAACTCGCATACGAGCCTTGCGTCGAGACTGCAGAATTCCAAAATTCCTCGTCACACATTATAAACCACTAGCCCCTGATTTCAAAATAACAAAAGGTTTGCTTCTCTTTAAGATCCCCAACTCCATATCACTCCAAGGCTGTAGATTCCGCATGTACTTCCCAAAATTGCACCATTGAAGAGAGACTACATGCCTCGTGCTGGCGGTAGGTGAAGGCAGGCTGCACCCTGGCCATCCTGAATGCACAACTAGGCAGAGGCTCAGGCTCCACACCCTCTACCCGACAGTTCTGCTTTCAAACCGTCAGGGAAAGGAGCCATCGGCCAGCATATCTTGAATGAATATGCTTGCACAGAGCTAGCTTCTTAGTGAAGGCAGAAGCCATTCTACTGAAAAATCTGTGTAGCAGCTGCAGGAATTTCCAAATGGTAGCCATCACCGCTGTTTAGACAGACAAAACACGCCTGACTAACGCTGGAACTCAAGAGAATGCTTAATTTTGGCCATTTTGGTGCTTTCCCCCTTTCCCTTCCTGCTGTTTTCTACAGTTATCTACTTGTGTTTCTGCAACACCCAGGAAGCTATTCATGGATCTGCATCCTGCTGTGCTATGTAAAAAAGGTCTACACCATGTAGCTATCTTATTCTTATTGCCTTCCTCATCTAAGGGTTAGAGGAAAAGAACAGCTGAATTAAGAGAATGAAGAATAAGGATATCAGCCAGCTAGATCTCACAAATGTTTTGTAGTGGTCAAGACACCAAGTCCCCCAGATCTTCCCCCCCATCCAAATTACTGCTCCCAGAGCCAAGTTGGCAGAAGGAAATGTGTGCCTACTTTTTAACCACTGTAATGCAAAGTCCTCTGCTTTAAGCTGGCAGTGAAAGTAGCTTTAAGCTAAGATGTGGGACTGCACGAGTAGTACAGAGGAACAGACATATACTCCATGCAAATGAATCCGTTTGTTATACTGACACACAGAAATCTGACAGAGCTCGACTGTCAGGTCCCGAGAATTCCCCCTCTTGAAAGCATGGAAGAGAGAAGTGTTAAGTATTGGAGAGCAGAGGTAACCCTATGTTGTCTTGTAAGCTGTTAGTTTCTAAGTTTCTCTGCAGCTTGAAAGTATAGATAGGAAGAGAGACACAAATGGCAAAACTACAAAATTCTAAAAAATGCTTTAATTTACCTCTCTGATCTGCTTAATCCATGCCTCCCTTCCAAGGAATTCCTGATGGAGGACTGCTGGAGCAGAATTCAAACTGAAGGCCATGGTGTCACTAGAACTTTCTTTAACAAACGGCTGAAGGTCTGAATGTAGCTGAAAGAGAAGAACATCTTCCTTCAGTCCCCAGGAACAGTTTATACATATCCACCCACTCATCAAATCAAGGTCCATATCCTGATTCTATACCTACTCACCACTTTCTGCTTTGACACTTGCACTTTGGTTGCACTTTTTCAAGTTTGGGGGAGGGATAGGAAGATGTTGAAAGCATTGCAGTGGCGGAAAGTTGTGGTAAGAGAAGCATGGAGGAAATCTGCAAAGAAACGGGTAAAGGACAGCTTGCAGAGCTGGGCATGTGATGGGACACAGCCGGGCAGGAGACTGTTGAGTGGCAGGAAGCAGAAAAAATAGAAAGGCAAGAATGATCCCGTCTTTGATGGGAAGAATATCAGTTTTCAACTGTGAAGGGTACTTTTCAGTACCTGAGGAAGCTGATGCAATATGACCCTCCTTCTGACAAAAGAAACGTTACACACCTAGAAGCTCTCTATGAAAATGATGCAATCCTTTATACACAACTATATGTCAATGGTGAATGTAATAATATTAAAGCATACAGAAAATATTAAGTCTACAGTCTGCACTAGAAGCAAATTACTTGTAGACTTGTGCCTAGTAATAGCAAATAGTGACATTCCTATGGCAGCAAAGCTGTGCTTTATAAAACCACTGCCTCCTCCTGGAGGAACTAGAAACTGTCTAAACCAACTCAGCTGAAGCGGATGAGAGGTCTGTCTGCCCGCCTCAAGCTACATCTATACTTTCAAGTAGTGCCATACAGTAGGAGTAGATCTCTAGGGCAAAACAAGAGTGCCAAGGATCTGCGTTCCACGCTGTGTGTGTTTTCCTTTAGACTAGCTCTAGCTGTGGACTGAAATAAACTTCTGATGGAGGTCAGAGGCTTTCTCTGGGAACTCCTGCTGCTGCAGAGGTGTAGGCTGCTCCTGACCGTATCTGGTGACCTCCCTCCTCATCTTCCAGCTACCTGCTCTGGAAGTTACCTCCACAGCAGATTGTTCAGGAGGGAATGTATGCAGGTCCTTGAGCCACTGCAGCTCACACCTCAGCTTGTGTGCTGCTGCAGGCAGCCGAGCCTCTTGGTACAAATCTCTGCGTGGCGGCAGCTGAGACCCAACACACGCTTCCTCCTGCAACTCCTGCTACCGGGACAGTGGCTTTAGGAAGAACACAGGAGCAGAGAAGGTGAAGCTTTAAGTTGCTACAGAAAGATGCACGAGAGGGACATTAGCAAAGCCTTGAATGAAATAAGCTACATTGCCAGGAGCGTGACTTTGCCAGTTCATAAGCGCTGTTCATACCAGCAGTTTCAGCAAACACCTTCACACTAGGCAGCAGCCAAATCTCTCCACATCACTGACCTGCCGGCAAAAGTCTACAGAGTAGTGGCAGCCTACAACAGAGCTCAAGAGCAACACATCTTACAAGTCTTTCTGTATTTAAGATCCCAGAACGAAAGGAAAAGGCGTACCTTATGACTCATAGACATGTGCTTTCCATACTGAAATGCCATGTCCTGAATCTCAGCGCTGTGCTTCGCTAGCTCCATTGCAGCCTGGCAGCTCTTTGCCAGCAAGGCACTGTGTGACAGGAAAACCTGCTCCTTCCACGCAGATATGCTGATATCATCTGTAAGACAGTTCTCCTGAAAATGAAACAAAGGCTAACATGAAAACACCAGAACTGCAGCTGTCTCATCTCAACGGTGTGGCACAAGACAACTTGACACGTGGTGAGTAACAAAACTCTGGGTGCCACAGTGCCAAATAAAGAAGGGCATTCTTTTGGGGATGAGTAGAGAAAAGTATCAGAATAAATACACTGGCAGCTTCCACAAACAACATTTTCCTTTTCTGTTCAAAAACAACAATGCAAAATACGTGGAGCTGTCAACAGATTCAACATAGATCCTTTTCATAATGACTGTATCATTACACAGAACATTAACAGCCAACTATATTCCTCACGAGGGACTGGGGAGAAAAAAAAAAAAAAAAAAAGGAAAAAGAAAAAAAAAAACATCAAAAAACATCAACAAAAATAACAGAGTACATCTGCACTTCAGCCCCCTGCCAGTTACCAAGAGCCAACAATCCCCAAAAAACTCGAGAAGTCCCTATAAGTTATCCTTTGTAGTCAAGAAAAGAATAATTAAAAAAGCTATTAAAAATACTTATAGATTTGCATTGGAAAAATGAAGGGCTGTGATGGAGGACTTGTATAACTTCTACTCTCATATTAAGGATGAGGAATGACTGAAAGTTTGTTTTTTTTTTTTTTTTAAAAAAAAAAAAGCTGTGATTTAGAAATGTCAGGTATTAGCTTTCTGAGGGGACTGATAGAGATCTCAGTGATGCCTCTAGTGAACTTTCTCACCTTGCCTGTAAGGTCAGAGAAGCTCAACGCCTCCCCAAATCCTTTGTATCCAAAATACTAATTTGGATTACCTTCCGCAAAGTGTTTTAACACAAATCCAATCCCTTCCTCCCACACTCAAATTCAACTGCGGCTCTTTTGGCTCACAAGGTGTTAATATGCCACTATTTTACTAATGGGACTTCAAAGCTAGACATGACTTGTAATCTTTCCCACATACCCGTTACTGTCACACCTTTAGGTACTCTCTAAAGAGGGAAGAAACAAAACCAGAAAAGACCACAGTTGTTTTGCTTAGAAAAAGCTAAAATCAGTAATGAGAAGCTACAGAAAAAAATCTCAAGCTTATAGCTATTAAAAAGTTTGTAATTTTTCAGTTCAGCCAAATTTGTAGCGTACACTAAACCAAAAGGTATTCTTTGAAAGAGTAATATAAAAACCGCCTTATATAACAAGCCTTTTCCCTCAAAGTGACGTCAATTAAATTACTCAGAAATGAGCAAGAAGTAATTCTGTGTGACCCTATAGTTTTCTAGCAAGGTATTATCTGTCATGAAATCGGTAACAAATGAAATAGGATCCATCCGTTCAGCTCTGATTTTCCTCCCTTATGGATATCACCCAGAAGTGCTGCGTTACAAAGGAGAGGATAATTTGAGACTAATGGAAAAAGTAGGAGATTTCTGCAATGCCAAGTAACACAGAGCTGTATCAAAATGCCTTTGCTTTCAGACATACTATTAACTTATACAAGGAAAGTGAAGAACAGAGAAACCACATGTTTGCTATTATGCATATGATAACTTACAAAGCCAAGCCTAAACTTTGCTCGTGTTTCATTTTACTGTAGTATTTTTGTTTTAATATCTTAACTCAGCCCAGAGCATGTGCAAATTCCCATGACTGGCAAAATGTCAAAATGAGCATTTAATTCAAGTAGTTTCCTATATATCAAGTCTTTTTTTCCCACTCAGCTATAGATCAATTTATTTTAAATTTAAAATCAGGAGCTCTTGGAAGACGCAACACAATCTTTTCTTTAACAACCAATCTGCTCAGTGCAAAAACAGTATTTACTAAAATTTTCTGGATGATATTGAAAATTGGCAGTGATTTTTATAATTATTTGTTTTAAATCCAACAAAGACAAAAATATTCTAGAAAGATATCCTGAAACAATTTATGAAGTTTAAAAAAAAAAAAGTCTTTCAGAAGACCCATAAGTTGAAAATATTTGTTTGCTGGAACCTTTGAGCAGTAACCGAAATGCAGACATTCTGAAATATCAACTGCAGGAACTGAACTCAATGTATACAAGGAAATTAATTCTATGGTTTGTTACGAAAATATATTCTACTTAAAGAAGTCTGAATTTCATCACAGGATTGAAAACGATGGCACAACATGTTACTGTTCGCTACATGAACATCATGTAGGAGCCTCAAGCATCTAAAATGGACATCTAACTTAAAAAAAAATTACAGAAATTTGAGACATATTTGAAGATATGGTATTGAAATCTTAAAAGCATAGGTATTGTGAATCTCTGGGTTACAAAAAGAAGCCAGTTGTAAAAAGGCATTATGCCCATACGGATGTGCTTTAGCACATGAACTTGCAAGCCAAAATATAGCTGATTTTAATCACAGAAAGTCTTATGACCACATATCCCTAAAGCTTCTGCTGCTTAAGAAGGCCGAGGCAGACACAACCTTTCTTCAGCAGTTTTCCAACAATCCAGACACCATTTTTTCCCAAGCTTAACTCTCATGTTATGTATCAACTGTTCACCAACCATACTGCATTCTTAGAACAACGGTATGTATGACAAGATCTAAACACTATTTTTAAACATCAAGGCAAAAATGAAACTAGTTCTAGATTGCAAAGCCTGTGAAATCTGACACTGTGACAGCACTTACTATTTTTAGAGAAATTCTCACTTTTTTGTAAGCTTTGCTCTGTTTTGTCAGCAGCGGATATTTCAAAGGATAAATATAAAAGTGGACATTAGTTGGCCCAGAAGACTTCCAGCAGCCTTTCATATAAAAACCTTTTTAAACTCAAATTAACTCTAGCTGTAGTTGACAGTGCTCAGACCTTTGCTCAGCTAATGCCTATGGAGTGACCTCATTCACAAGTTCTGTCACCAAGAAATGGGTCCAGATCAGTAGCAACCCTGGTGATGTCTGGGTGGCAGAAGCTGGATGAAGAGCCCAACCCCTCACCATCCTTGGAAGAAAGCAGCCAACTCCAGATTCAGTTTGGATATTGTCAGCATGGGAAAATATCCAAATCCAGCTCTGTCAGTCATAATTTCCTATGGGAAATGAAGAACAGCTGAGGGTACTCCCATTTTACAAATGGCAAGGTTGGTTACTCTTTTATTAAAAAGAAATTGGCTAGTTGAGATTTTTTTGTTAAGCTACTTCCATAATTTAAATTGGGTTTGAAACAATCATCTCAGGCAACAGGAAACAAAAAACTTTTAGAAAATGAAATTGTAGGACAAAATATGCAATCATAACCACCAGGAAGGGCAGGTCTTTGTGATGGTAACAAGGATCCCCAGTACAAAAGTGGCACTTACAATAACTCAGTTTGATTTGCCACACCAAAGATGCTGATACGCACTTCGGTTGAAAACGTGTTAAGGAAAATAGGAATGAAAACTATATCTTAAAAGTGCACAAAACCATTTGCAAAACCATCAGGAAGGAGTAGAAGTCAGAAACTTTTCAATGTAAAACTTCAGCTATAGTTTGTAAGGGAGCCTTTATTTTATTTCCATACCATGGCAATCGCTCTTAGCCATCTGCTGTTGTACAAGCCACTTGAAATGTCTGAACCACGTATATCAAACTTGAGTTCGGTTCTCAATGGGCAAATAATGCACAGAAACACACAGAATTATTTTTAAATAGCATTTGAAAGTTTTAAATTAGGTAGTTCAAGAACTTGCATTTTTACATAAAAAAAATTCCAACGCAGCTATGAATCTCTCTGCCAGTAGCAAGACCCTGCAAAATATCTTGCACATGGTTCACATAAGCTTTCAACAGATGTATTCCTGCTTGCTGAACATGACAGGGCATGTTTTATTGGTCTATTAATACACGTCTTCACTGCTTTTGGAGGAACAAGGGTGTCTGCAAATGGGTCAATAAAGCATGCCACTGACTACCTAATGCTTTTATCGTGACACTGTAAAAAAAGCAAGACACGATTTAAAAAAGAGTTTGAAAACTTATAATAAATTTAAATATCTCTCCACATCTGTTACTTTTAAATCTCTCTGGAAAAGCTCAGTATTTAAAAGAACAAAAGCAGTAAACAAATAGCATCGGCCTTCTTTCTAGCTGTGCTTTTTTTCCCCCCTCTGACACATTTACCCATTCTTTTCACAGATGCTCTTTACTCGAATTCCATATTTTATCCTTCCCTTTTGTCTTGCAACAGAAACATTTGTTTAAAAAAAAAAAGTGAAAGCTCTGACTCTGACTGTTGCCCTACTAAAAGGCAGTTTACATGACTCAAAATACATTTGATTTACCTCCTGTGGTAAAGTTTATAAGCAAATCTTATAGGATAGACTCATAGCAGTCCAGTTGATGGACACGTGCAGTCCCCCAAAACATTACTCCTCAAAGCAGGACTAGTGAAGAGGGAAGACATATGGAAAATTACAAATTGCCAGTAGCGGCAAGGTTTGTCTACAGGACTGCTTAATCTGATAATATTTTGCTCGTAGTTTTGCTTAGGAATCTGCCTAATGGTAACCAAACTGGTAACCAAAACATCAAAGAAGAATTGGTACAACTCGCTGCATGTAGTCTGTGCTTTTCTGGAAAATAAACTTATTTTCATGAAAAAATCCCCTACCTTTGTCTGAAGCAAATACCCATTAATCCACTATTTGGTACAATGAGTACCTGCCACTAGTGTTTTTCCTTTTTAAACTTGTTTCACATATTAGTTATGCACAATTTTTACACAATTGCATAAAAAATTTCAAAAATATCTAACAGCTCTTCTAGGCATCAATGGAACACGCTGGAGATGGCCTTGTCTTACGTAACAGTTCTGACACTAAAAATGAGTTTTGGTAATGCACGTTTAGCATCCGTTATATATTCTGGAGGTGAGGAAAAAAACCCCAAAGAACCAACACAGCAGTTTCCCATGAAAATCCCTCATACTTTAGGGTTGCAATAGTGGTCTGGCAGGTAAAGCACAAGAACCAACACACTCACGTCCTACTCTTGATTCCGCTGTTTGACCTTGAACTTCCCTGTATCTTTCGTCCCTGCTCAGTGAACTGACAGGGATGTTAAAGCATTCTTCATTATATTTGTTAGATGATCTGGGATATTAAGATAGAAGGTTTCTAAAAGTGCAACAGTATTCTGTGAGTTAGCAAACATTTTAGAAGCCTCCAGCCTCCTAAAAGTAGGAAACAGAGACTCAGTGCAATGTTTTTTCTGTTAAAAATAGATACCGTGATCATGACTGAAGGCCAGATTAGACAACTTCCATCTTTGCACTCACTAAGGCACAATTTTTTACTCCCAAATTAGACCTAGATTTAGGAAAGCCAGACGGGAACTGGGAAGAATGTCCTTCACTCACAGAATTTTGGGCTGAGAGGGGATTTAGCACACAAAGCTGCAAAGGTTTACAAAATCCCCCCTTCCTGCTCCACCTTACAGTCCAAAATATTAGCTTAATAGTGCTAATGCAATGTCTTAAACCACAGCAGCTATTTAGTACTCTGAACATGAGTGACAGCCCTAACCTTCAGGCTGTCTTTGCAAATGAAGCCTACACTTTGTAGTTTGGATTGTCACTTCAAATAAAGATGAAAAGTTAAATATTATCTTTATTTTCCCTGTTTCACACAGATCTAATGACTCACTATGGAGACAAGATGAAGAATGACCAAACAGAATGGACTAAAATGGGATGGCTGTAGTATTGCATGTGGTTGTACAGAGAAAAAAAAAAGTGGCAATGAGAGCTATCAAATAACGATATCTATTATATGTCTTCAGGAGTAAATAAGGTCAGGCTTGTTAGGTCAAATGATCCTTTCAGTTCTCCTACTGGGTCATCCAAATTAAACAAACATTTTTTTGGGGGGTAAACATGAATTTAGGGTCTCAGAGGAGAAAGGTTAATTTTGCAGAGTTATTTTTGTATACCATCTAGGTAGACATCTAGCAAAGCTCAAAACAACTTGGTGCTAAATAAGTCTATTTTATGGTACTGAGGAGCTTTGTAACAACTGCATCAAAGACATTTAACATATGAAGTACAGTTCTCCTGCCTCAAAAACAAAAAAAAAAAAAAAAAAGAAAAAAAAAAAGGTGAGAAGATATCCTTCTGCTTTTCCAAATTTAAGACACTCCTAGCAATGAAAATGCCATTACTAACATCCCTATGCCCTACTTTTTAAAAGAAATAAGGTTTGACATTTGAGATTTAGTTGCAGAGTAGATTAAAGAATTTATCTTATTTCTAGGAAACGTAGTTCACATTTCTGTTTAAGTCAAATTGTAATTAAGGATGGAGGGAAGGTGCATAATGGACACTAGTAAGACAGATCCACAACTGACCCAGTCCATTTGGCAATCTTTGTTAGAGATGTTCAGGACACAAATGGAACACTGCCTCAGCAGAACAGTGTGAGGAAAGCAGCAGGGATGTGTCTCATACACAACATGGAACCAAATTTCTCAGAGAACAAGATTAAAAAAAAAAATAAATAAAACTAGATCCCACACTTGTTTGCTCTAGGTCTCATCAGAAGTCATGCACTACCCATTATAAAGATTAAACTTCAGACACTTCAGTCATATAAATTTCAGTAGCTACTATGCCACCAAACTAAATGTGTTTTGAGTTAACCGGGTTCTCCTTCGGACGGGTATACTGTACTTTCAACTCCACTTAGACAGAATATGCCACTGAAACAAGATAAATCTTTGCTATTTGTAACTGGGCCAGGGCAGGGTAAACATCATGCAGCCGTGCTTAGCTTATCTCACACTTCCCTTTCAATCTACCCATGTGGAGTGCTTCAGTAAGGCAACAAAAAAATCAACGGAAAAAGAAAGATTAAGAAAAAAGACGATTAAGACCTTCTACAGTGGCAGCAACCCCAAAAGAGTCCACAATATACAGGGGCCATGGTTAAAATAAAACAGTTTCACTGCCGAGATGAACTTGTAGAGCTTTACTTCCACACACAAAAGAGCAGTTGCTTTTTAAAATATATCCGGGACGTACTTGCACTTAGAAACCTGCTTCAATACAGAACAGAAAATTTTAAACGTTCCTTGCGAATGTCTCAAAGGCGTCATCTATTTTAACCTGCAGCACAGTCCTTGGGAGCAACCCCGGCGCCTGAAGCCTGTTGATCCACGGGCCAGACACACGCAAGCACCGCCGAGTCCCCTCCCCACGCCGTGCTGCTGCCACGCTCCCAGCCGGGATCCCGGCCCGTGCGATGCCGGGGGAGGCTCTGTGCACACCGCGCCCCGCCGTGCCACAACCGCTCTCCCGCGAGGGGCTCTCGCTTCCACCCAGGGAAGAGCTCGGCTTCTGCCTCGCCGGTTACAACCAAAACGAGAGGGATAAGCCGAAACGCGCGGTTCAGCTTTCCGAACACGCCTTTGCTGCTGCGGAGGGGGAGAGGCAGGCCACTGACCCGCGGGGCACAGCAGCACCCTCCAGGTCCCAGCCGCCGCTAGCTGCTGGCACTCCCCACTCGGGTTTTGTGGGGTGCCGAGCCAACAGGGCAGGTATCTGCTGGACCAGCAACCCACACGATTCAGGGCGTCCACTAAGCTATTGATTCTGCTACCTACTACAACGCAGCAGTAGTAAACCAGAGCTGCACTCTAAATACACAACGAATATAAGTGAACTCGGGTATTCCTGCAATCTTCAGGCCACTTCACCTACTCAACGTTAAGATGCGGGTCTCTGAGGCAAACTAGGCACGTGAGACAATGTCACTGCAAGTAAATCTATCCGCCTCAGTGGATTTCAAGATATCCACATATACGCATTGCTCGTCGTTCCCATACAGTGAAAACTTGCTGTCAAAAAACCTGTAGAGGCCACGGCAACTTTAAATTATCAATTTTTTGCATGTGTTAAGATACAGTCATAGCAAATGAAGGAAAGAACTCCTCTTTTGCTCCAACACCCTGCCCCAGTAAGCCTGCTTCAGGAAGGTGCTCCACAAGTTTCCTTAAATATTCTAGTAAAGACAAAAATAACTAGATCTAATTGAAGCCATTTCCATTACAGTTCTTGCCAAACAGTAACACAGTACATTCATAACTGCCCTTGAAAAAATACAAGATTATTTAGTGTGAAACGCTGGCAGCCGCTCTTTTTGCCCTCGGTGCCTCCTGCAATGCGTGACTTTTGGTGGAGAAGAGTACTGTGCTACACTCCTACTGCTCGGGACAAAACTCACGTTTACACTATCAAAATGTGGACACTCAAGAAGAAGAAATGACGTGATAGAAGTTTGGGATGAAGCATTTTGTAAACGGCGTTGGGCTTGGAAACGAGAGATTTAACATGAAAATATTCATTGCGTTGACAACATTGTAATAAATGCCTTCACTAGATACCTCTGGCAGTGTCTGGAAAGCCCATAATAAAACATGTCTAGAGCTCCTGGTAATGACGCATGATATTATTTTATTAAGCACTCACAGAAATAAAATAGTCCCTCCTTAAGCATTTCTAAAAACTTCCATCCGAGTTCACAGGTGTCATAATGATGTTACTGTGGAAACTCATTAGGACTGCAGCTAAATTCTCTTCCTCCCTCTCCCTTCTCCTTTTAAACAGATGAGAAAGTAATCGCATTTACTGTAGTCACACATTAACATCACCAGACTTCTTAGGTATGGAAAACTACTGATGTTCTTACCTCAGATGATTTTGAGTTTTCATAATATATACCTTGAACTAAGTCACCGATAGCACTTGAAATGAGTTCCACCACCTGTAAAAGAAAAGGAGAAAAAGCCTTACATCTTTAATTATCACCAAATTTACTAACAAAGCTACTGTCAGATTTCCAGAGATAAGTGGTCATAACTTTCCTTGCAGAGAGCTAGTTGTGAAAGACTGCAGGATTTACTGGGATGTATTCTGCACAACCATGATCCTGACTCTCTGCTAAAACCTCTATCTACTACAGTAACTCTTCTACCAAAGTTTTAAGTTAATACAAATGAAAAACAAGACTTTTTTTTTTCCTAAAGTGTGAACTATGGAGTGTATTCTCACAAGGACGTTCACAGAACTAATAAATCCCAGTTCATGAATATGAGACAGTACCTCATCTGGGCTTTGTTTTGTTTTGTTTTTTTCCTGCCAAGTAAATACTTCACAATACCTCTCATTGGGAGCTGTTAAAATTCTAATCTTCGTGGCTAATACAGAAAAGTCATAATCCATAGAAAGGTAACCTTTCAAATGTGATCATTTGGTATTCGGGTACCCTGGGAACGCACTGTGGATGTATTTAGTGCATGGCCTGAGGCTCAGCTGTACCACATACACTGAAAGTCTGCAACACGGGAATGTTTAAATCAGATTTATCAATCTGTATTATCTTCAGGGTTCAGACTTTTTATTTTATTCAAGCGAAGCCTAAAAATCTGAACTTGATCCAGAATGTAAAACAAGCAGTCCACGGTCTCCCTGGAACTACTGTACAATTTAAAGTCGTGCACATGAACTGTCTTAATTGGAACAAAATACTCAGACTTATTGTAAAATTAAATGCAGGCATTTCAAATAAGTACACCTTAAGGCTACCCCTTTGGTTGCTCACAAAGTTTTAATTTCTTGAATGTTTAATTTCCTATGCATATGAGTCTATATCTGATTCCTCTTTCTGCTTCCTAAAATTCAACGTAGTTCTTATTGAATTAAAATATTTAGTTTCAATTTTTATCATTCTTGTAACTGAAGACAAGAAGTCAAATGATAAACCCCCTAACAGAAAGATATTTTAACATTTAAGCATACTTTATTTGATAATAAAAACACATTTGTATGCTAGTTTTGAGTACTAGCAGAAAGGTTGTGTATTTTCTTTTTTTTTAAACACTGGTTCGTATACATATTCATATACACAGAGCAAGCGCTAACTTTAGAAATGGTGCTGATTAAAAGTCATGTTTTTTCTTGCAATGCATATGGGTTAATTTGCAAGACCTATAAAAACAGTCTAAAAAAAAAATTAAAAAAAAAATCACATTGCCCTTTAGGAAACTCGATACTGAAGAAATATTGTAGCAATACGAGCTGCGGAGGAACTGAAAGGACAATGATCCTACAGTGTTACCAGATGTGTTGAGTTATTTAAGTGGGGAACAGAGAAAATGAGGGGCTTTTTTTTTTTATTCTTTTTTTTTTTTTTTTCCCCGCCCCCCCGCCCTTTTTTTTTTTTTTTTTTTAAAGGTATCAGATAAGCCTTATTCCCAAATCCAGGAGGACTGAGTATCGCCAATAGGTCTATGAAAGTCTGTAACTAAATGCCCAGGATCAGATTGTATTACAGTTTATACAAGCAACATCCCAAGATTCTTCTGATGGCTAGGACACATAATACAGATCAATCACTCACTAAAAAATGTTATGGTTTGTGAAATGGTCTGAGCTCAGAGACCTACACTGGTAATACGAACAGGAATTTACAAAGACACTGAGTCCTACTCTAAATGTCAAAGTGATAGTATGAACTTTTAACAATGCAGCTGGCTCTGGATAACTAGACCTTTTCCTCTCTCGCCTGAAACTCTAGACTGAGCAGGACCCTGTTTTGGGGTTTCTTTTTTCCATCTCTCCTCTCTCTTTTTAGTGCAACTCTACTCTCAAAGGCAATTTTAACTGACTTAAAACAATCTCAGTGAAACATTTGTGAACAATTGTACCTCTTCCTCTTATAGTTTATAAAACATCTTAGGAGAATTACACATCCACTATTTAGAAGAATCCATATATTAAAAACCACTAGGTCTTTAGTGACATACTGAACATTCTATGTTAGTGAGAATTTAGTATTAGTATTACATCCCTTCTTTCCAAATATATCTCTCTCACTCTTTTTTTTTTTTTTTTTAAATAATATTTTTCTAAGGTAAATGCAAGGCCATACAGATCACTACCAGGAATGAAATTCCAGTTTCAAGAGCACAGCGGGATGCTTGCATTAGGCTCTGTTGCTTCATCAACCCTTAATCCGATCTATGAAAAGCATCTGCTGTTTAACATCAGTGGCCTGGGGTTGTGAGCACTGGGGAAAGCAATGAGAAATGAGGAAACCAGGTAATTTTCCTCTGCATCTCAATCTGACATAGAGGAAGAAAAATTATTACAGATGCAGTAGTACGCATGCCGTCAGTTATACACTGACTAGTTCTTATGCAGCACTTCTCATCAGAAAATTGGAAAGCAATCAAGATCCTTTGTAAAATTTATTCCATCCTGGTTTATATAAGGGGAAAACAGTGACAGTGAACTGATTTTCCCCCAAATTATGCAGCATGCTGGTGGAAGAATAGAAAACAGTATCCAAGTCGTCTCTCTTCTCATCAGTGCCTTTCTGTCTGACCAGTGCCCTGTTCCACTTGCTGACATTGCTGAGAAGCAAGTTTGAAGAGCGGGAAAGGTAGATAAAAAAAACCCAAGTGCTCCCAACTGCTTTTCTTCTCTTCTTACTTGAAGGTTCAGCTCCATTTTTAAAAAGTTCAAAGACGGGGAAAGGGAAGAAAGGATTGCCAGAATTAGTGCTTGAAAACAGCAGCGTCTCAAAAGACACCAAAGGCAGCCTGTTCGTAATCTCTTTTCCAACTATTTTTCCATTCCTCTACACATTTTTGAGAATCCTTGTCCCTCTTAGGTACTCGAGATGAGCAGGAGCAACATTATATTGAGATAAAACAAACTTCCACTCTATTCTTCATTTTCTACTCTGCATCGGCATCTTCCAAAGCGTTTGTGTTTTTTGCTCCCCCTGAGCATCGGCAGGGCTAGGAGCCGCCCCAGGGATGGCCCATTACTTGCAGGTGGTAAGTGCACGTGCAAATAATTCCACACCCTTTAAACACATGTTCTGCAACGTTCTGCCAGTGTTTGTTTACTTGGTCTTTCTCCTAAGGAGGTATCACTTCAACACCTTTTGTGGAGAGGTGATCTCTTCAGCCTTTAAAAGGTCAACACAAAGGCCATCAATTTAGGATGCACATAGGGAAAAGAGAAGGATTGTTAAAGCTAAAATCTCCCCTGCTATCTAGGCAGACTAAGCGTGTAACTTGATGTAAATTCTGGACACAAGCACGTGATTGCCAATTCTGTAGCAAGTTAGAACTCATGCTCTGACCTCTCCAATCTATGCAAATATGAAATAGTCCAGAAGACTGTGCTATGTTTCAATGCCAGAAGAGCTCTGTAGGTTTGAAGATCGTAAGTTTGGTGAAACTTAACTCACCCTTGTCTGGTATAGTAACTTATTTGTCAAAAATGCACAGCTTTAGCTCCTCAAGCCCTTTAAATTTACTTTGAGTCTAGTTTCTCAAGCTCATATTTTCTAAATACTGATTGATGAAATAAAACAAAACAGTGGTAATTTTCTTAGCAGTTCAAAAATTACTCAGGACATTCAACCAACCACACACTGAATTTCCTCCCTCCTTTTCCTGAAATCAGACTAAATCTTTCAGGTGGTTTACTGAGGATCCATCTACAAGATAATTCAGGATTCAAAATTCCCAAAGCATTCTGCATATGTGATGACCGAGAATAGGGATGTCATGGGTACAGCAGTCTGGCTCTTGCCTGCAGCTGAGCACCCTAGGAAATCCAGCTCTGACTACAAAAAACAGAGGTGTCTTAATTAAAAGTGAAACATTAAAGCTAGAAGGACTGCACGGAAATCATAGAATATAAGACATTTTGGTAGAACACTTTCTTCAAAGTTAGAAGATATGATTCAGACTTCTTCAAGCACAGTAAAAAGAATGGATTCTGGGCCCCACTCATCCTTCACGAGATTTCTAAACACCCTGGATGAAAAGAAGACATTACTGCCATCAGTTTAGCAACTCAAGCACTTTGTTCCCTTTACTTGTCTTCGAAATATTTTGTTTAAAGTTCACTGCAACATAACACTGCATAAGTATTTTTTCCTGTTTTTCATTCTAGTTTAAAAAAAGGAATGAATTTGAGCTCCATTCAATGTGTGGTGGTTTTATTTTAAATTCAGCAGCTGAAATGGAATTGATTACACAGACCACTTTATTTCAGAGTAGTAATACAGTGTCTCTCCAGACTCTACCGGATATTTTCAAGGGGAACAACAGGGAAAGGATGAAACTCTTGTGGAAAGACAGGAAACAATCCTAGGAAGAACACAGCAATGGATACATCTTCGTCCCTCATCCTTCCCGATTTCTATTTGACAAACCTCCTTAGCTTTGCCAAATTCCTTTCAAGAAGGACCACAAGTAATTCCTTCCTTTCCTAGTGTCGAAACAATATCCTTTCCTCACACATCTGCTATGACAGACCCTACTCCTTGCTGCTGATGCGTAGACTTGAAAACGTAGTAAGACTCCTCCATACAAGTAAAGAAGAAAACGAGATAGTCAGGAAACATTAAATACACAGATAAAAGTTCCTTCAACTTGTATTTGACTTTCCTCCCCAAACAAGTTTTAATTTTTTGAAACATTTCCACACTTTAAAATTCCACAGAAAGTTGTTAAAATTAAATATTCTCCCCCATTTGACCCAGAAACATTGTAACACCAGGAAGCTAAAGACGAAACTCAGTAAACAGCTAGAATTGCATTTTGATTGTTCAATAATGCCTAAAGAAAGGGAGCAAAAACTCTAAGGAGTTGCAAGAATACTGGAATTCAATTTTCTTTCCTGGTAATCTCCTCAAACATCATTAGTCATACAGGTAACAAAGTGTGCCAGCCTACAGAT